CCTAAATTTCACATTTTATAGCTATCATCTGCATATCTCAGTTCACCAGCCATTCGTGCACCTTTGTTTTTATATAGCTACAGGATACAGGTGGGGATTTCCGGCCAGGATACTATACTCCACTCTCACCCTTCATACCCCGAGGCTTTCTGCCAGGGATTCACTACCTTCCACCACCTCTCCAGCTCAACCTTGTGACTGAAGCTACAAAGGAAACATCTGGTGAGTAATCAGAATATTTAGTTGTGCAGCTGTTCCACTGATGTTTGCAAGGCACCTACAGATATTCTTCAACTTAACAGTTGCTTAACAACCAGCTGAAATTACAACAGAGGCTTTAAGGTCTATAAAACATTTCTTCCCTTTGTAAAATGTCATGCCATCCCTGCCCCTCAGTCACTTGACCATATTTCAGTTACTTGGCAACTGCCTCGCCTTTATGACTGATGTCCCATCATCACACTTACAACTTACAATGGGTTCACACTTACAATTGCGGCAATTGCTTAACAACTGTGGATTCACTTAACGACCACGGTGATTTGCTAGATACACATGATTAGATTTAGATATAGTCTAATAATGCAACTAGATTTTAGTAAGAAGATCAAACAGAATTCATGTTTATATTGTGCAGATTCAGTCTACCTAAATTGTTTTCTATGTACCTTCCTGTACTGCCTGCATAATTGCAATAGCAAATGCTTTTATGATCTCAGAAACCAAAAAACTATTTTTAATTATTAGCCAACATTGAGAAACATCAGCTGAACACCTGGTTCCATTATTTGTTCAAACTACAGGGGCATGTAAATCAAGCATAGGTTCATTTTAATTGTATCTTAATTATATCTGGTATTAAATCATGATCACATCACAACATGTGACTTTGGGTGATGATAAACTGTTCTCTGAAAATATTTAACTTAAATTTTAACACTTGTCTTCCTCAACCATATAAGAATAATGAAAGAATAGTTGTATAAACTTCAAAAATTGTTTAGTGTTTTACCCAAACAATTTATATTAATTGTCATATTAAATTTACTGAGAATCATTTTTAAATTCTTTTTGCACGTATAATTAGGGACTAAGTCAGAGGTGGTATTCAGCAGGAAATTTTGTGTAATTTAGAGAACCGGCAAATACCCTCTCTGACTGGCCCCGCCTCCATCTGTTCTCTGCCTCCCAAGTCCCAGCTGACTGGCTGGGTCTTTTTTTGTTGCCCTGCACAGGAGAATGGAGCTGGAAAGGAGGTTAGTGGGGAGGGGTAGTGAAGGGAATGGGGATTTTGAAGTAACCTTCCCCTACCACGCCCACCAAGCTACACACACCAAACCACGCCCATCAAGCCACGGCATAAGTGGCTTTTTGTCAACAGGAAAAAACTTTTCCTAAGTATGTGATCTAATATATTCCAAGATACTTTCTGTCCAGGAAGTCATATCATATTGCCCATTCTCATAACTAGGTTACAGGTAGTCCTTAATCCTTGAGTTAACAACCATAATGGAGCCCACATATTATGGTTGTATGTGTTATGACAGCCATAAAGCTGGTCGATCATATGACTGACCAGGTTTTATGACCATTTTTGCAGCAATTGTTAATTGAACCCATGGTTCACTATGGACCAGTTTTGCAAAAAAAAAATGGAAGTGAGTTCCAGTTTTTATCAAAACCATCATAAAATGCAATCATGTGACTGGAACACTGCAAATAGCCATAAATGTTGCTTCATTGGTGAGCACCTGAAGTTCAGTCACATGATCAAGGGGAGGAGTAATGGTCAAAACTTTGAATCCAGGTTGTAAGTACTGCTGGTAGGTCTGTTGTAACTTCTAATAATCATTAAGTAACTGGTTATAAGACGAGTACTACTTGCACTTGAAAAATGGTTCTGTGTTGCACAGCTACAGACAGTCAAATAGCTCAAATAATTATTTTCAAACTAATATTCTCAGTAATTGCCTATTTAAAATGCAAATATCACCATGCACATTTATATTTGTTTACTAGGCTATTAATATATTAAACAAATAGGAAACAAATGTATTCAAGGTGAAGTAATAAGTATCTTTGTAATACTTACTGCAGAGAGGGCTCTTCAAACAACACTCTGTAAATAACAGAATTGTGTTGTGGAGAAGAATGTGTTTTTCTTTTATTATTTAAATAATAGTCATTGAATAAAACATAAGAATTCTGTCCAAGCAGAAATTGTAGACTATTTTGTGCTTCTGTGTTTTAGTTTCCACTGAAGACAGCCAGGATTCTGCAGTTATATGTAAGCTCAGCCAAACATCTCAAGAAGATGCCTCTGAAGATTGTTCCTCATACAATGAGCAGTAAATCTTCATCATCTAAGCTGAAATATTATCTTCAAGTGCTGCCTTGCTATAAATTTTATTTTGTATTATTTTAAACTATATTCCTGCTGATCCTAATTTATCGGTCAGATAAAGTTAGAATACAGCATTTATACAGTTCTATTTGCATTAGTGGTGTTTCATGTTCACCTAATATGTCCCACTAGAATTGGTTTGTTTTGATGCCAAGTTGCAAGTTTAGAAAGATATGCCTGTATTGAAAATCATCACTGCAGTCCTCTAATTGCATGTCAGATAGTGAATGCAGGCAGAACTCAGAACTTATGTATATTTTGAGAAGCCAGATGTGCTCAATAAATATTTATGATTACCATAAAATCTGAGCACAATTTAACATATTGCCCAGCCTTAGCTTTGGAAGGAAACATACTGGTTAGCTTTAAGATCTTCAGCTTTTATTAGTTGATGTCAGCCTATAGTGTTAGTTGTTGTTTGCTCTAGCAGTCTTTTTCAACCTAGTACTATCGATATATATAGAAATTGGAATTAGGGAAACATGATACAACTGAAGGAATCAAGTAAGAAAACACATGAAAAGATTAAACTACCAATTCCTCCATGCTAAGCTCTGCTAAATTACAAGAACAAATAGTTCATTTTCAGATGCCGTGTTTCAAGTTGAAAAATGACACTAAGAAAACCTGTTTTTAGCTAATAATTTGTGTTAATTGTATTTCTAGTTTAGTTCCATTACCTGTTGTAAAAGTACTTATATTAGCCTAACTTTGTATATGTTACAATAAAACATTTTCAAGTGGTGGTACACTCTTATATATCTTTTCTTCTATGCAGATTCAAAAATTATATTTTGAAATGTGTTAGGCAAATACTGCTATTAGAAGATAATCACTAATGAGTTGATGAAGAAATGAAACATTCAAAGTAATATCATGTAGTCTCCAAATCGGTTATTGCAAGAGTGTGGCTTGTGGAAATTTGAAAGTGATTCTTGCTTGTCTTCCCCTTTGAGAGCTATAATAGGCATTAATAAAAAGTTACCAATTTTTTTGTTAGGAATGTTCAGCAAAATGTTCAGCTTTAGAGTGTTGGGAAGAGGGTCTTGGGAAGGCCTTAATCAAGTGCTGCAAGGGGTTCACTTGAAGCAAAAAGAGAGGTGGGAAACTGATTTTAAAGGTTCCAACTCCAAGTCTGGACCAGCTGGAGTCTATACCAGCAATTTTCCAATTTCACAACTTTAAGATGTGTGGATTTCAACTTTAGAACTCCAGTTTGCAATTCTGGGAGTTAAAGTCCACACATCTCACAGTTGCCAAATTTGAAAAACTCTAATCTAATACCTTTTACTGGAAAGCAAAGACAACTCCAGGCATAATCAAGGGGTCCTCTCTGAGTTGGTTGTTTTCTTGCAGACATTACCCAAACTAGGTAACATCATCAGTGTTGATGTCTAGTTTGGTGTAATGAAATTTAGTTGTTCACTGATATCACTTTAAAGTTACACCTTAAATTTAAAAAGACACACTGTACGTTTGACATGCTTTCCATGTAAGAGCATAAAATGTTTTTCCAACAGACGGAAAGTCTAGTCAGTTTTTCTGTAGGAAGCCCTCAAGCAGGACATGACAGCAATACTACTTTGGACACATGTGGTAATATATTGCCACTGTGAATAGTTCCCATTATATTTTAGTTGTTTCAAATGCCTGCAAAATTTATCAGAGATGACAGTGAAATAAGTGAGCATTGCATGAGTAGTATATCTTCCAGACTGCCTGCAACTTCCTGAGGCTTTTCAAACCTGAGAAGTAAAATGATTGAATTCAATTGAATACTTCCAAGTAAACTTGCATAGGGTCCCCCCTCCCCCATGGTACAATCCTATTGTCTGTTTCTAATTAAAATCAAATGTGAGCAAGTTGGTTACATCATTGACAGTGTAATGGATAGTCAATATTAGAGAGTTACAGTAGTTTTCGTGCAGGCCACTCCACAGTAGCTGACATAGTTGAGGAGAAATTGATATTTTTTCCAGTAATAAATAATTGCAGCTGAGTACTAAAATCAATACCAGTGAGGAATGGTCCTAAAAATAAATAAAGCTACACTGTACTGTAAAATGCTAAGTGGGAAAGTCTCACTTTCTAAATATTCAGTAAAGAAAGTTACTAAATAGAAAATATCACTTTTTTTTAAATCTATAGTCAATTTTTTTTTACACAAGAGCAAAAATATTAATCTCAGGTTGACTTTAATCACTATTCATATATCCAGTCTGGAGAACCAGCTTAACATTTGTAAGTAGAGAGCAAAACATATTTGACCGCTAGTTAGAGCCATTAGATATAGAGGTAGTTTAGTGACTGCCTTGTTTAGCAACTGTTCACAGATACAGTGGTTGTCCCAAAGGTGCTTTTTCATGAGGCAACTGGACTTTCATGTTTTTTCTTTTGAAGATGTTTTGCTTCTCATCCAAGAAGCTTCTTCATCTCTGACAGGATAGTGGGGAATGGAAGGATTTATATTCCTTGCAGATGATTTTGGATGAGCACCCTTTGAATGGTGTGGGAGTAGGAATGGATTTCCAGAGGGAAAAAATGCAGACTACAGGAACCAGGAGCACTACTCAGATGACCCTGAGGACACAGATAAACCTCCAAGTGTTTCAATGACCCTCTAAAACAGGTGCCAAATGGCAGTGTCACGTGATGTATCAGGACTTTTTCCCCCTTCACTAAACCACGTGTGGCACTGGCCAGCACGTGACGCATCCAGGGGTGGGATATGACAGGGTTAACTACCAGTTCGGGATTTATGAGCTTCCTTGCACACTGGGAGCTGCACGCCTATAAATCATGATCAGCACACTGCGTGCAGATAAGCAGCCTTTGAAACAGCCCTCTTTTCCTGCTTTTTTAACTGCAGCTGTGCCTCATTCGGCAGCTGAAGTTGAAAAATCAGGACATAAACATCAGGTAAGAGCCCGGGTGGGCCAGTGGGCAAAAACATCCGCACACATGTAACCGGTTCCATGTCTGCTGCTCTTCAGAGCTACCGCTTCTACAGAGGTGGACAGAACCGGTAGAAACCCACTCCTGGAAGCATCCGACCTGCGGGCCAGGAGTTTGACAGCCCTGCTCTAAAAGGATGCAAATGACCAGCTGTCTGCAAGAAATATAAATCCTTCTATTCCCCACTATCCTGTCAGAGCTGAAGAAGCTTCTTGGATGAGAAGCGAAACAACTTCAAAAGAAAAAATAAGAAAGTCCAGTTGCGTCATGAAAAAGTACCTTTGGGACAACCATGACCTGGATGACTGAGAATCTCTACAGACTTTTAGTTACAACAGTGATGAAAAAGTAACTTTGCAATCCACTATTTGCCTTTATGACTTTCACAGGTCAGGAAAGCTAAAGTACAATGGTAACATTGGGATGTTTCACTTAGCAATTGCTTCATTTAATCACTGAGTTGTTGGTCCCAATTGTGGTTGCTAAACAAAGACTATCTATATTCAGGGTTTTGTTTTGTTTTTTAAAAAAACTCTTTTTACATGAATGTCTAGTTACAGAAGCAAAATTGAATAGGTTTAGGAGAGCAGCTGAAATAGGGAGTAACTTATTCTCATTTAAATCTGGCATTTTGTTTATTTTAGCTCTGTTCAGTGTTCAACAATGAAGATCTGATTGGTCTTTATGGAACATTGGGGTTTTTTAGCAAGTAGAAATTTACTCTTCTTAGGGTAGATCAATTCTCTCTGAGATTTTCCCTGTCCTAGATTTCCACTGAGTTATTCCATGAGAGAGAATTTGGTAAGTCGTAAACTCTAAATGACAACTGAAGCAACTAAACAGTAACTTTTAGCGGTTTATTAAATATACTGTACCTCATTTTTTTCTTAGCAATGCAATTTCCCAGGACAAAAATTAATGTAAAGTATGGTTTTTCTAGTTGTTTGCAAAATAAATAAATAAATCGAAGAGGATACTATCAGGAAAAGCTTTGTAACAGCAGCCTATCTTTCCTCCTATATTTAAACTTTGAAGGTCTTCAGGCATTATTGCAACTGAAGCTTTTTCTTATAGCCCACAACCATAATGTGATATTTACATGCCACACAATTCATACAGCAATGCTCTGCATAAAGGAAAAAGGAAGCTTTGCAAATGCATGTGCAGAATAAGGGGAAAATAATTTTTTAAAGCTCAGTAAGCTGATCCCGAACTTGGCAAAAAGCTTCCGTGGAATTACCATTTATTGGATTGATCTTGCATTTAAATCCCTAATTCTGTATTATGAAGCTACATTGTGAGTGTATTGCCTTCTGAGGTAGCTCTTACCTTGAAGAATAAACTGCTGGAGGGAGAAAAACACTCCTTTCTTCAATAACATTGATTTCACATGTCAGTACAACTTCTCTCTCTCTCCATGAACCTTCCAAGTTTATTTTTTAAACAAGTTGGCTTCTTTTAAGAAAGGTTGGGTTCCAAACCAAATTAGAAAGCATCAATTGAAACAGGTCTAAACTGCATGCTGGGTTGGCTGCATCTGTTATGTCTAGCAGCAAATATAGTTTTCTCTAGATATTTAACCTGTAAGGGAACACTCCGGCTCTTTTGTTTTTATTGCAAATGTGCAATTAATCACCCTAATTGCTCAGGTACCCAGAAGCCCAGGATATTATAGTAAAGCAAAATATATGACATTTGAAATACCCTGAGGTTTTTAAACATTCATTCTGGTAATATTAAACTTGTATATATAAGAAAAAAAGTACTCTCCAAAGAGAAAGACTGTAATAATATTTTATATCATTGCTTTTAAAATCTAACCTCTTATTTACACAGTTTGAGGGATGAAAATCTATGGAGTAATGTATGCTTTTTATGAATATCAGAATATTATATTATCACATTATAATAGTAGTCTGGTATTATTATAGTTCCTGTGTTTATTTTAAATCTGCCATTTAGTATTTGTAATTTTACTAAAACAATTCCTGACTTTTGTGGCCCTGAACGTAATCCTGAATCAGATTTGGAATGCTGAATGGTATCAAATATACTGGCAAGATAAGAGTCCATTTATTATTGGACTGACATTCTTTTTTATTCTCTATTGAGTCCCTGCTAGAAGCACTAATGTATAAATACACTCATCGTTTAAACTAGGCAGCCCTTTGCTCCTAATTATTGTGTCAGGACACATTTCCACTGATCAAATCAACTACCATTCTGGGGAAATAAATCCTCTTCCACTAATTCCAGTTCATCCTAGGTCTCTGATGAATTAGAGATGAGCAAAATGCAGCAATTACATATGAAATAGCACTTCTTCCTCCAAACCATTCAGAACCTCTTTCATTCTGGTAGCAGTGGCAGTTTCCAGAAGTAAATTCTCTGGTGTTCTATATTAACATACTCCAAAAGCTGAAATCAGATTGGTCCACACGGACCGCATCCTGATTGGTCTACTGAACGGCCGTGATTGGCTTCCTAAGAATCAACCACGATTGGCTGAGCCGATCGCGGGAGATTCAAAGCACTGTCATTGGCCGACGAGCCGCGAGCAATCCCTATATGAAGGGCTGCCGTGGCTCCAAGATCTTGTACAGATCTTAACATAAAATAAAGAGCTTGAAGCGCACTGGTCTCACGTCTCTTTTGTACCCGATCTAACACTGGCAGCGAAGGTGGGATTGTAAGACACCGAGACCAACTGAGCACATGGTGAACCGACTCCGAAATCCTGACGAGATGGCCGGCAACACCTCACCACCTGC